TAAACTGCGACAAAGCATCAGCTGTGTGTATGTGAGGAGAAGTTCAAGGCTGAGCTGGTGCATGTGCTCACTCGCTACATGGGCTGGGAAGCGGTGATGAGGATTCGAGTCTCTCGAGGGTGGAAAATCACCAAGTTCGATGGACACCTCTTCATCCGCGGTCAGGATTTGCTGGTGGTTCCCAACTGTCATTCTGATCAAACCTTTGCAATTCAGGTCGACATGGAGGAGAACGTGACACCGGATCCTGTGCTCTACGTGCAGAGTGCCCTCTTGTATACCAACAGCGAGGGCGAGCGGCGCATCCGAGTGCACACGTGGGCTGCCATGACCACTCCAAACTTCAATGACATGATTGGCTCCATAGATGTGCAGGCTAGTGCCGTGATGATGTGTCACCAGGCCATGGAGCAATCTTTGAAAAGCAATCAGACCGATGGCCGAAACAAATTGAATTCTTTCTGCCAACAAGTGGTTCAGGCCGGCAACATGTGTCCTCAGTCGGATGCTCTTCAGTTCTTGCCTTTATACATTATGGGAATGCTGAAATCAGCTGCGTTCCGTGCGACAAATGACATCTCTTCCGATCTCAGAACTTATGTTTGGATGCGATTGGAGACTTTGTCTGTGTCGCAGAGCGCAGCATTCTTCAACCCAAGGCTCATGGCACTGCACAATGCTCCCAACTCATGCCGTATGCCAAACGAGCATGGCTGGATAGAGCTGCCTGAGATGCTGAACCTCACCAGTGAGTCCATGACCCAAGATGGTGTCTACTTGCTTGAGGATGGGGAGTCCATGTACATGTGGATTGGCAGAGCAGTGGACCCCAGTTTCTTGCAAGCGGTCTTCGGCACCGGATCATTTGAGCAGATGGATGTCCTCGCCGCCGAGAGCATGGTGGGCACTCGTGGAGATCCTTTGTCAGAGAAGCTCGCCAACATTATCAGACAAGTCCGAGCAGAGAGACCGACCCCTTTCCTGCAGCTGCAGATCTTGCGGCAAGGGGATCCCAAGGAAGCTCGCTTTTTTGCAGCCTTGATCGAAGATAGGACTGTTGGCATGCAAAGTACATACACAGAATTCTTGCAGCGGATGGGGTATCGATCGCCCCAGCAGCAGGCTCCCCCGCAAAGCGGGATGCCGGCGGCCAGCGGAATGATGGCACCGCCACCAATGAACCGAGCTTATTGAGCTAGAAGTAACCTGACCTAAATGCAGATGCCTGACCACTGATGTACAGGGAGTGCAGGGAAGTATGAGTGCAGATGCAGGACCACGCGCCAGATTTGCATTTGGTTGACGTCAAAAGAGTCCATGATGCTTTGTTCGAGTCATCACCTGGTGGCAGGAATCATGTTCACCATTCAAAACTCTATAGAATGTATCTTTCATCTTTGCTACTGTCCATCAATCCGCCAAACCAATGGCACTGTTCATCGTGTGACATCACCACCGCGCTTTTGCCACGGTGGCTGGAGGCGTCTCAGGGCGGATTGGTCCCATCGGTGCATGTGCATGATGGGCCCTGGCAGAAGATTCTCGCCACCCTGCCGGCCAACTCCTACGATCTCATCTTCTACGACCCCCTCAACATCAGCCCAAGGCCCGATTCGGTCACAGGGGAAAGCTTCGGCTGAGACGGAGAGGAGTTTGGACAAAGGTTAAAAAAAAAGAAAAACTCCTTGTGAGATGTATAGAGATGAAGTGAGGTTTGCCCATTCAATGTGTGCCAGAGATTTGATCATTTTGCCCACATTGTTGCATCCTACCAAATCACCTACATCCTAGAGGTTGGCTAGGTGCTTCGTAAACTGCCTGATCCCATGCCGTTCTTTGCCCAACCAACGCCAATACTGAGGAGCACAGCATGGGCCGCACTAGAGTGAGGCTGTAACCAATTAAGTTACAGGGGGCCGGTAGTATGACGGGGACTAAAACAATACGATCAATCAGGAACAAACTTTTCCACGAAGCCAAGCATCGCCCGCGACCCATTGTTCAACCAATGGTTCAATTGGAAAACATCACCCCTGTGGAGGACTGCCATTTGGCAGGGCCGCAACTCGATGATCTTCAGATATCAGCCCACTTCAGCCAGATGACAGCATCGTTCGCTGTCAGCTGTCACATGACACAATTGTTTGGTTGAAAGGAGCCGTGGTCCTTCCATCGGTCGCGGCACGAGTGTCGAACGCCCGGTTCCCTCGATCTGAAGCGCAGATACATCGGTGAAGCCCAGTTCTTCGAGCCTTGGGGGTTGCCTGTGTGCGTCTTCGAAGCTTTGCAGTCGGGTTCTCAGGCGAAGAGAGCTGAATCGGTCCTGGCATCCTGCTGTCATGCTCCAAACCCTGGCCAACGACAGGGGACTCACAAAAATGCGATACCCTTTAACAAGGTTCCAAAAACAGTGGGAAACGATAGGGGACTCACAAGTATGACGATGCAATAGCCATACAATGCCACACATAAATACACATAATATATCATGATATCACATATATCTAATTATATTAAATGTTGACAGTACCTCATGTATAGCAAAATGGTTGCATTGTCATTGATAAAACCAACCAAAAGGCATAGATGTTGCACAATTGGAAGATCTAGGTATACATGACATACTATGATATTATGATATGTTATACAGAACCATTCTGTGTTCGGGTGTGAATCGTTCTCAACTGTTGGCATCGGTTTGTTGGCCGCCATTCATCAGGTTGGGTTCGCATTGGGGGCCCTGCATCAGGTTCTACCGACTCTTGAAATTGGGAGGGGTCGTCGTCCAGTATGCCATCTCTCACAGGACCCATCGGAGAACACGTGTTTTTTCCTCGCTCACGTTTTTCCCTGGCTTTGAGACCTCGAGACGAGACGAGGTCGTGAGAACCGGCGCATAGATGGCTTTGGGTCAATTTCAGTTCTTGATCTTCAGAGGTTGTGGACCAAGACGGAACACCTCGCAGGGAATGAACTGAACCTTCGGTTCAGCACACAGACCAAGTAGCGCCTTTCAAGACAAGCAATGGCCTTTGAGCAAAGTCGGTGAAGTATATAAATGTTACATGTCAGGATCCGGCAAGTCGGGATAGGCGTATATGTTCCATTGAAAGCAGCTGCCATGAGAGGATGTATGTTCACAGAATACCTTTAAGTAGGAACCTGCATTTTGGCATAATTACGTCCACAGTTCAGTGGTTTGTATTGTGGATACCATCAATATGCCCAACAGGCACATGTAGCCTCACGGTCTCAGACTGGACATCACGGTCACAGACAGGACCTCCACTGTGAAGATGTTGCAAGAGCAGCTGGCACCACTCTTCCGGGAGCTGCGACTCACGAGGCGGAAAAAATGGGTTGGAGGAAACCGTGCTGGAACAAGGCAAGTCAGTGGGACTGGAAAATCATTGATCCAGGACTGGCGGCCGGGAGGTTTTGAGAACTCAAACACCTCTTTTGCTCGTGAACCTTTGGAAAAAGCAACATAAACTTTCATAAATTTGCTTTCAGTTGTCAGCAGAGCTTGGCTATAGATCTGTGCAAGCGCATGTCATGCCGAACAATTGTCATGTCATGTGGTGTTGGTCCGAGACGCCCGTCAGGGTTGAGGGTCTCAAGCCGGAGGCGGGCGTCTGGTGTGTCGTGCGGTGTGTTCAGCTTGGATGGAGTTGTCCCCAGCACTATCCAGGACTCATCTTGTTTTAAAAGAATGATCCCCGCAAGGTGATGACTCTAAAATGGGGGGCTGAGACTCTTGGGCTATTTGCTGGGCATCACCTAGTAGTGATTAGTTGGGTCTCCGTTTGGTGTAAAATCAGACCATATGCTAGGGATATTACAACATCACATGTAGAACCGGAGACATCTTGTTTGAAGACACTTTTGGATTCCATTTGGGTCGTTCGTTGCTTGGTGTGATATCCGGCTTGGCCACTTATGACTTATCAATACCATGGCCATGAGGTGTTCTTTGATCAACCAGCTTCAACAATGGGAGAGCCCTGAACAATCGCAACTGTACCCATGGAGCAGGCCAAGCTTGTCAGATAGTTGGTCTTGCCAAGCGTTCGTATTTGCGTGAGGGAGTGTTCCACTTCCAACATCTGTTTGAGGTCATGCGAGGCAAGAGTCCAAAGTCACACGGGCATTTCTTGACAATTGAATCTCAAGTGAACATCCAATCACCAAACTATTTAATTCAGCAGTGGTCATCACTGCTCATCGCCTGTCGCGTGCCCCACCATCGTTCTCCTGCCTGCAGCCCCTGGAAACACAGCGGAAGTGAAAAAACCGTGCGGAGGCTGACTCCTCTTATGTGACCACGGCCGAGGTGCGACTCCACAGCTCAGATTGTTGGGTGGTCGGAAAAAACCAGTGGCCACCAGTCTAGCCAGCATCTTTTGTTCTGCTGCTGTAGCTGGAGTAGCCCGGCTAGTCAGGCTAGTCACCAAATGGAGTGCGACTACAAACTCCTTTGCTTCGCAAACAAATCCAGTTGCAACTACTTGTACGTAAGTATCCAGTTGGCCTGACAGGTGTGATGCGCTTCCTAACTCGTGTTGATGAGATGCCCCCCTGAGTGGCTGACTGATTTTGACAGGCTGCAGATCTCTTTGTGCCTGCCTTTATCAAGTGATATCAGGGCGCCTGGAGGTGAATTCCACCCAGCTTCGTCCGCCCAGCTTCAGCTGGGCGGCACGGAACCACACGGCAGCTTCGGTCGGTCTGGACCGCGTCTCGGACCAGGAGATCCACCGCGACGACGAGTCGATGGGTTTTCTTGACGAAACGAAGCGAAAGAAGAGGAAAAAAGTCAGGGGTGAAGCTGGTTTGCACGATTCACACCTGCCATGAGGATGCGGATGGTGTGTGTTTTCGAAGGCCAAATAGCCTCATGATGAGACGGAATCGATGAACATGGATGGAGACCTGACTGTTTTGCCATACTTGGCCCAGTGGGTCTCAGAACCTTCACTGATCGTCGCTGTTATCGACAGGTTGGCCGTGCCATGACAGCCAAGTTGCAGGCCGGGCGAAGCAGACAGGAGGTTTTTCCCGCCACGCATCATCCGCATCATGGAGCTTTCAGATGCACTACACTCTTGGCGTAGCATCGTAGCAATTCTCAGCTGTCCCTTCCAGATTTGTGCTTTCCCAGCACATGTGAGCCATTCGATACCCCCCAAAAAAATATACGATCTTGGGTCCGGGCTGCGCACTCTTTCCTTTCGCGTTTTAGCCATGTGCTATGAAACGAACGGAATCTCTGCAAGTTGTCACCGAACGGCGGTTCCGTGGAAGCCTCGGTGGGCTTTCTCGTGGCGAAGCGGCGATCCGCCGCGGCGGCCGCGAATGCTGATTTGGGGCAACGAACATATACAAACCTTAATTACATACCGAGTATCCTAGGGTGACGTATATCATCATATCATGATCATATCATATCATATTAATTTCAATCTTCAAGCTGGTATATTGTAGTGGCCGAAATGGTTCGGAGGAGTTCTTTTGGCTTTCTGTGTCTTTGCATGACACCAAACATCGGCCCAGGCCCAGACCCTTCGGCCGTTCTCAAGCAGTTGAACGTTGCCAGGAACGTGGCCTGGAAACTTGTAGCGATCTGCAGGCGCTGGAGACAGGGCCTTAGATTGCCGGACGATGCCGTTGATTCGGATTTGGCTCTGCCCAGGGCCCGGGCCCGGAGGTCTTTTTCTTTGGCTGGCACCAGCCGGACCCGGGACCCGGGACGTTTCTTCCCATCTTAAATGAGAGACTACTGATCTGTTCCTTGTTTCCTTCCGTTTTGCTAACGCGCAATCCTTCAAGGGGGGGCCATGTTGCTGAGCAGCCGAGCTCGCCGGTTCCACCGGTGTATGTTGTGATGTTCATGCATGTTCGGACAAAACGCAGCGCGCAACGCGGCGCTAGCGCTAGCGCTAGCATGAAAAGGTCTAAGGTGAGATCTGGTTACGAGGTGTTACGACGTTCAAAGTTCATTCTGATTCGTTTCGTTCAGATGATTGGCTTTCGCATCATGAAGCGAATCTGCTGGTGGAAGCACCGGATGAGTCAGAAGAACGACGAAACCGAAGACTTCGGCCCGGTCCGACCTCTGCGCCCTGGAAGACGACGACAGCGACGTCTGAGGAAGAAGCGGCTTAGGGAGTGGTCCGAGACTCAGGTCTCAGAGGCAGTGGTGAGCACCACGACTGAGACTGAGATCGAAAGACGTGGATCTGTATGGAAATAGGGAGACTCCTCCCGGTTTGACCCCACCGGACGAGTAAAAGTAGACCAAACCCGTTTTGAAATGGTTCCCCATTCTCATAGAAACTCAAGTCTAGACTCTAGACTAGACTGGTCAGGTGGTGGATTTGCATTTGTTCAGCTTCCACACCTTGGTCAAGAACGACAGAGACGGCTCCAGTCTTCTCCAAACATGCTGATGATATACTGTAGTATATGTATATATATTATATATACTTGTTGCCAATTGTTATAAACACACTTCACATGACAAAGATCTTTGTTGTTTGTTTCATCTTATGATATGTTTGAGAACTATGATGGCCGATCTAACCGAACAGAGAAAGTGTGTTGACCCAAAAGTTGACCCAAATCAACCACATCTCTCCAGAAAAAGGCTTCACAAACCTCGGTGCTGCAGCTACTGCCACAGTCCCACACCCTCGTCCGTTCCGGTTCCGGTCGCACCTCTCTGCGCAGCAGCTCCCGCAGCAGCTCCGCTCCGACCGCCCCAGGTTCGGTGTGAAAGGCGAGACTTTGTGGCTCAACGCCCAGGGCTTGGACCAGGCGACGACCGGGACGGCCCGATCTCGACACGACGCGTCGGCCCGCTGGACGCGCGGGAGGCCGGCCGGGCCGGGCCGTTGGAGGTGGGACGTGTTGTGTCGATGGATGTGTGGAAGAGTTGTGTAATTCATTTCATGAGTCGTGGAAGATTTGGTGTCAACACACGACGCATGAATCTCCCTGATGCACACAGGATCTTGCAGAATTAAGTGATGCACACAGCATCAGTCGTTTGTGCGTCAACGTTGTGTTTTAAGATGTTTTGAGTTTTTTTAACGCAAACTCCATCCACCAGAAAAGAGGGCTGAACGAAGCTGGACGGAAGAACTGGAAGATCAACAAGATCTATCAAGATCTGGGATGCCACAGCCCTTAAGTCCTCCAGGCCAGGCATTGTGTGTGTGCGATCCATACAAAGCAGAAGCCTATGGGTAAGGTGATTGTAGCCACAAATCCAATCACAACAGTGTGCGAGGGCAAGGTGGACATGTTGATTGTTCGCTATGTCATGTATTGTGACATTTTCACATAATTGCGAAGCATATTATATTAATATTATGTTGTGTATATTTTTTTCACGACAAGTGTTTTCTTGTTGTTATTTTTTAAACACATCACACCTTGCTTTTCACACGGCGATCAGTGCGATCCGATCAATGCACAAAAAAGGACCGAAAACTGTGCTTTTTCACAACAAGACGATCCGTGGCAAACAACCACATCACCATATGCCCGAGACACATGAATAAACACAGACACACGGTGCACGACATGGTTGTCGCACGTCGCACGGTGCACGCGCCTCGCGCGCCTTCGTGGACCACCACGAGACCTCGGCGATGTCGGATGCGTCTCTTCGGAGCGAGGGAGCACCACCTGGACCTGGGGTGAAGATGGACCTAGTGAAAGATGTGTATCAGGTGATTGTTCGTTTTTGCTTGGGTGAATCCTTAAACCTGGGGAAGATGTTCCAAGATGGACCAGCAATCTTGGGGAATACGTTCATAAAGTCTTCTCTTTCCAAGATGGGACCAGCAAATCCCAGATGGACCAGCTTGAGCCCACGAAAAAGCGGTCCACCCATCGACCGGTGTCCGTACCAGCTTGGCGCTCCAGGAGACCAGCTTGGTACCAACCCAGCGGAAGTCGAGGGGCTCAGTATATATATGTTTTTTTCGCTCGTTCAGGGGACAAAACAATACAGGACATTCAGTACGTGGCCTCTTTGGAGTCTCTGTTTGTCACCTTTGACGGGCTTAAGTGGCCTCATCCTGGGATATCAAAAGGTCACTTTTGAAGGTCCTGGTAAGTATATTATATATACACAGAAGCAGCTTCCTCACAATCTATATTCACGTAATTAAGCAAGAAGTGGGTGGAACCGTCTGATTCTTTGGTTGATGGGTGATGGTGCTGCCACTGTCTACTATTCTTATTATACGTTTCTTGAGGTCAGGTAGTAGTTTTTATATATATATATATATAGATTTATGAAGGGTCCAAATATGTGTGCGTTAGAAAGAATCGTAAGAAGATCTTCAAGCTACGCCCATTCCGAAAGCAGCAGATGCATGCATCACCTGCCAACCAAGCCAAATACTCATGCAAAAGGCTTCTACATCACACGGCATCACTGGTGCCACCGCACACGCATGGCTTCAACGTCTAGACTCCTGGAACCTCAAACGGGAACTGACTCATGGAACCTGAGTCCCAGTCGAGTCGACGCGCGGGTCCATGCGCGGGTCCACGCGGACCAGTCCGAGGTCCGTGAGTGCTGAAATGCCTCTCGTTGGCACCATGTTGCTCGATGGTTTGGGCCAGGGAGGTCAAGACATACTAGTAGCAAGACATACATGTTGCTTCTTGTTACTATATAGTAGTAATGACCTCCAACCTAATTAGCGATGGCCTCCACCCTAGTAGTTTCTTGTTACTAATGTCAAGATCCAGCCTTGTGGAGATCGGAATGACAGAATCATCAGACGTCGATGTTTTTTTGGAAACCTCCCATGGGACGGAATTAGCTGCTAGACCCACCGACAAGATCCATCAATTGTGTGGCTTCCCATGCTGGGCAGTAACATCGCATCCATGTGCGTTGCCAATTCAAAGTATATGTTCATATCAAATTGGTTCCTTTCAAAACGATTCGTAGCTTGATCCGCATGTTCCCAAGACTCTTCAGCACAGTGGCCGAAAATCAGGAACAATATTTTAGCGGAGCAGCAGCAAACCTGGCCCGTGTAGCACGCATACGCACGTCACCCGATGTCAACAAGGCACTACTCGCATGATATGTGCAGTGCTGAGTCTTTTTGGATGGATTTGAGTGACCCTCCCAGATAGGAAGGGAGTGGGCTTCCAAAGAAGAATTCCCGAACCTTAGGGCCTTAGGGACCTCTATCACATGCTATGGTACAGTAGTTAGACTTCTTCATGTCATTCTTTTACGGTATATACTGCCTCTAACCATAACCCTGCCATAACTACATAACAATAGAATTTCTCCAGCCCGTGAAGTTCCGTTCCTCCTGTTCCTCCTTTCGAGTTTCTTTCGCAGGAATTGGGGCATCCGGTGCCAAGACCGACCTGCAGCGGTGAAGATCTTGTCTGAGGCAGGAATCTTGCATGCTGAACTGAAGACTTGGATGCTTGTAACCCCCACCACCACATCCCTGTCAATCCCTGTACTCTTTTCCAGATTCTTCCATGTTCTTGTTTTCGTGAATTCATGCATGCAATATGCATGCATATGCATGCCATGACTGACGATACGCATCACTTGCTCCATGGGCGGTTTGTTGGATAGACTCATTTACATCAGATTAAACGGAGCAATCTAAAGCCAATACAAACCATTTGTGCATGCTTTAAACATGTCATATGTGTGATAGATTCTATCTCTTTGGGAGGAATACTGTTTTAAATCCGATAGTCAATCTAGCTATTGGGTTTGCGCTGAGGTGGCTAAGCAGCTTTGCGACCGTTTGTCCATTTGCAACTTGCGCTTCGATCTCAGTGAAACATGTTGCAGCTGTCGCTGTCTCAAAGGTGACAGGGCTGGGGTTAGTCAAAGAAGAATAGCTGCAGAGCAACAAAGCAACTTGGCAACCGAAGGAAGAGTTTGCTCAATTTCGGTCCCAGCTCCGCTCTTTGTAGATTGGGCAACCGGATGAACACCCTTTGTTCTTCGCATCGGTTGGGGTAGCACTCTTGTGCACCGTCAGTAAGGAGCGAATCATCTCACTCTGAAGCTGAAGATTGCCGTCCCTGGGTGGGTCCGGGTTGCCTGATGTCCGGTGTCCACTTGACTCAAGTGGTGCCGTCCCTGGGTGTGTACTTGATGTTTTCTGGAATGCAAGGAAATCCGTGTCCAGGACAGACTCAGCGTTTGTGTTGGTTATTTGGTGAAGAGACCAGAAGCTTCAAGCAGGTTGGATTCTGGATGAGCTAGGACTGATGCTTTCACCCTTCTCCTTGGCCCGCTTAGTTCAACCGCCGGCAACGGTATCCAACCAACATCGATCGCGTCGCTTTTAGCCGATGGAGCTCTCACTTAAGATCTGTTGCTGGAACTACTAGAGGCCGTTTAGTATTCTGTCAACCATCCACCAGTTAATGAAACAACATGCACCTGCCACATATGCATCCATACACGAACCTAAAGGCAACACAGTATCCAAAGCAACTTTGTTTGGCTATAGACACCCACTAGTCCATCTATCCCACTAATTTACCAGCACATATCATCATGTAGGGCCCTGGGCCACGTGGTTGCAACTCCCAACAAAGTACATGATGCAAGTTGCATGCTATGGCATCGACCAACCAAACGGTCTTGCATCATCGACTATATTCAATATACTCAACCGCACGGCGGGAAAATATTGCGGATATGTTAATTTTAGAATAAATGTTGAACAAACCAGATTCTAGGCTGGCTAGACTCAAACCGGAATATATATTGCACTTGATTCGAGGCTACTAGACTTAAAAACAAGTGCACGCCCAGAGAAAAAACCTGCCGCAGGCAGCGAAAAGCTTCGCTGCACGCGAAGCGATTGGCTGAAGCGCCTGGAATCGTAGCAAGGTAGCAAGGCATGACCGAGGCCTCGACCCTGGGAACTTCAAGGTAGTTCATGGTTACCACCGAACATCTGACGTCTGAGGTATCCCAAGTCTTTCATCCCACAGAACATCTCAAAAAACCAACACAGAACAGACAGAACATCTGACGATCCTCCCCGAGTTCATCCCATCTCCAGGTTGAGCCCATTAAGAAGGGAGGCCACGGGCAGTGTGACGACGTGAGCCGCTCCTCCAGCCTGCCATTGACCAGCGCGCCTCGGTGCAGCTTCCACCAGGCCACGTGGCCAGGCTTCCAGAGGCTTCCAGAGGCTCCTGAAGAAGCTCTTGGGTTGGAGGCCATCGCTAGTAGGTTCCTTTGCCACGAACGCAGCATTTCGGGCATCGCTACGAACGGAGCGTTCGGACGCTACTAGTAGCCCCCTGGCCTTGCTACAAGGAACAAGAAGCTACTAGTAGCAAAGGGCATCCCTACTAGCAACAGGGGCATCGCCATCGCTATTACTCAGTAGGTCTTCAGTTGAGTTTCAGATGAGTTTTTCTGGTGGCAACTTCCAGATGTTTCGTTCTGCTATTGGTGACTTAAACTGGTCATTGAGTTGTCACTATACTCTAGATGTTTCATGATGTTTCTATCAGAATGCAACCAAGTAATGCATTGATGGCCGAGTTCTTGAGGCCTATCTGCGACCAATTTTGCTCAGATGATATTCCGATATTCCCCAACCCTCCAGTGGCGCCTAAGGACCTCCAAATGTTGCAGAGGCCCGCGGCCCAACCTGTGAAACTCGTGTGAAACTCGTCACATGGCCATGAACGTCTGATGAAAGGGTCAGCATGCAAAGGCATCTCTTTCCAGAGATGCAAAGATGCTCTCCAAGGCCAAACCTTCTGTTATATAAGGTGTTTGTGATGGACTTGTTTGGTCCTGGGGATGAATCATACCCGTCATGCCTTGACCAAAAAGGAATTTGATATTGACGATGCCATCAGGGTTGTTGTGTCCAGAGATGTTGTTGATTGTTGGTCGTTGTCGTCGTTGTTGTTGTTGTTGTTGTTGATATTTGTGTAAAGGAAAACATGTGAACCATGCAGACAAAACACCACCAAAATACCAATGTGTTTGAACCTCGGCGAGCCGAAAAGCATGGTATGTAATGGTGTTCACGAGCTTTTGGCATTAGGAATCAAACAACATTGTTTTTACTGTGTTTCTTCTTACATTGCTGCTCCCTCAAACACCGGTATTGACGCACGTTGCCAAGAGTGACATGTTCACTCAATTGTTTGTCACAATGTAAGAGCCCTCAATGTGCGGAAGGACCAGGTGGGATTGCGGCCCCGGACACGGCCCAAAAAGTGTGAATACATAGCAGAAATTCAATGCATCAATCGTGGGGGAAAAAACAGAAAAAAACCCTCATGACGGTCCAAAAGTAATTCCAAATCCACCTGTTTTGTGGCATTTTTGGAGGTCAACCGACCTCACCTGACACCCAGCTCACACGGACTCCGAACACGGACTCCGGAAGTGATGGCCCGTTCGGTCCTAGACCGCGATTCGGCTCAACGGGAAGCCGGCGTGGGGGTCGGCGTGTGGGTTTCAACGACCACAAGTGGTGTTGTCCGAATTGAGCAGCAAAGCACTCATCTGACAAGAGCACACGCAAAAGCAGTACAAGTTATAAAACAGTGTTTCGTTGGAATCCTACTCGCCATGAAAGACAAACTTCTGCACCAAGTCCAACCTGTTTTACGACTAGCACGCTTTGTCTGGTTGTCTCCTTGGACGCGCTACTGGACAGGTTTGCCCTGCAGCTGTTCGACAGCTTGTCTCCAGACCCAGTGCCTTGAGAGCCGGCGCAGTGAGCGGTGTTGGCTATTTAGCTGCGCATCAAAGCCTATCATTGGCAAATTTGGGGGTGTGAGCGCGAATTTATGGGAATCAGAGGTAGTGTTTGTGATTGTTGTTTGTTTTGTATTTAAGGGCTTTGGCCGCGAGCCAGCCGGCCAGGGGCCCCACGAAACACGCCGTAAAACGCAGGGGTTTGGTAGGTGCCGACAGGGCGGCTAGGGGCGCACCCCTCTTTGTGCTTCGCAGAAGCATTGCCTAAGCAAGACTCGGCTGGGGCCGGATTCTGTATTGCTTTCAATCGGAGAGAGGATGGGTGTCTCAAAATAATGAGAGGGGCTCCCAATCCTCACTGGGAGGCCAAAAAGTACCCTGACCCTGAAACCATTTGGCTCACCTAGGTGGAAGGAGTTCTGAAACACGCGAATGACACCGGGTGGGATCATGCTTGACACAGCCCCACTATGAATGATCAGGCTTCGTTCGAAGAAAGGTACGGCTGAGAGGAATGGGGCTTGCGGCCCGCTTAGGTTCAGGCGCCGATCATGGGAGTAGATGGGATTTGGGTGTGTCTTCGAACGGAGAACATCCCCAAATCCATGGCGGTTTAGTCTACTTGGTTCTTTCCAGGTCTCTTAACGCAGGTCTCTTAACGCACAAACCCATTGGTCGATGTGGTGTTAGACATTGGCAGCTGGGTCAGACCCATGGATGGTTCATCCACTTGTGGCATACTTTGCTGCCACTTGTGGAGGGGTACAATACGGTAAAACAATTCCGAGACACGCCCGTGTTTATTTGTTTTTTTACCTTCGTTTGCTTGAAGATGAACGGTTGGTTGGACTCTTCTGCTTGGGTTCTTTCCCAGACGTGGTCGCAGCCCGTATGGTGAGACCTGAGGTGGTGAGATTTGGGAGATCCAAGCGTCCCGACTGGTTATCATATTTATCATCAGTAATGTAGACCGTGGATTAATGAACAATTAGTTCCCTACAGGTCCAAAGGCCCAGCAAACCTAGCCCTTTACTTCATTGAGCAAAGCATTTTAAGTCTTCTTTTCCTTGTTAAACTCCAGTAACATGAGGTCTTTGACCTGCAGGGGTTCATGCTTTATTTTCATCCCGACCATTTACAAGACTTGGACGCACAGGGAGCCGCTCCAAACTTGAAGGGAACATGTATAGAACGGATGCATGGACAATAATTTGTTCCTTTTCATATATGATCGTATGTTCCATGCTGATCACACCCTTAAGGTCATAAGATTCCCCTTGATATATCCCATAAGCATTGGAACGATTCTAGTAAACCATGCCTCATCCCCTTACTTGTCCGCGAGGTGAGACACCCTCGGCGTCATCCAGCCGCAAGCTTAGTTAATCTTTTATGATGGTGATTAGTACTATAAATTATAGTAGTTGTAATCTATGAATATATTAATTACATATACAATTATGCTTGTAGGGAACCATTTGGTGAAAATGTTGATGAAGGAGTTTGGTGGGGACACACCCTCTCCACAGAGATCATCGCAGGAGATGCTCCGGAGCAAGCCCTGGTCATACCAGAGTTGAAGTGTTTTGGAGTCTTTGTTCCCCACGAAGTCGCCTGAGGGAGCCCAAAGAAGGCTCACAGCGAAGCAAGCGGCATTGCCAGGCAGTCAGACTTGTGTTTTCAGAGCAGTGGGAGCTGACTGTCACTGTCAACAAAGCTGTTGTTGGGTTCTTCATCAACTCGTGCTGACTCAAAAGATGTTCGGAACATGTCAACATGTGTTTTGGTCCTTTTCGGGGGTGTCACACAAATCCGATTCTGGACTTGAGTGCAACAGCTGTGAGTGATGGCAGGTGCGCTTCCCAGCTTGTCCTTTGAAACCCAGTGGTTGAACAAGTTACTATATATACTTATTACTGCTAGTTAAAATGGCATGAAACAGCAGCAAGCACAAAGCTGCTCATGTCAATCGACTCTTCAGCCGCATTCTGACAGCCCGGGGTCTGGTGATTTTTCACTCCGGGGTCTGACAGCCCACGCTTTCGGTCACTCCGAAAGACGGCTTCGATGCTCTGCATGACTTGCTGGTCGTTGACTCACATGTCACTCCGAAGCTGGTCCAGGTGGCTGCGAAGGCCTGAGAGCAAGCAGGCCGGATGTGTTCGAGGGTCGTCCAAGGTTTCTTAGGTACAGGGGTTGTTCTTTTTTGCAGCGTGAGGAGATGCAGTGTGTCCTTCCTCAAGAATACCATCGAATCAATGGAGTGCTTGAATTGCACATGTTCTTGAAAGAGGTTCTCCTTTTCATTTCCCTCATACAGAACTGGCCCGAACGTTAAGTCTTTCCAAGTCTTGGGATAGTGGGGGGGGATTGTTGGGCCTGTTTGCTATCGTGCTTGTGTGGCCCAGCAGGCTCGATGTTGGAGAAGTCTAAAGAATCTCTACTCGTTTTGATGGCTGCGGCATAGTCTCACTGTCTCACATTGTGATTAGTCATGCGTGGCAGGCAGGTGCTGCCATGCCTGTTGGACTTCTAGCTTCTGTCAACCATCGGGCAATGTTGCCCCTCTTTGAACAAGCGAACCGGTTCTAAGTTTTGAGAATGTGCCAGTGCTTGCTATGGAATGACCATTCCCTAACCTATTCCATCGCTTTGAGGTCCTTCTTCAAGTATCAAAAGTATGTCGAAGCCAGCCAACTCGTTAGCTGCTCCTGAAAAGTGTTCGCCCTTTCTTTGCATGTGTTGCTTTCTACACTCTGACTCACTTGACACGGAAGTGGACAATCGCGGACGTCTACTTTCTTGGACGATACAGAGGATGTTCCACTTCCATGTTAGTCAGAGTGTATGTTTCAACACCATTCCCAAAGATCTGATGAAACTTCTAGAACGCATGTCTTTTCCAACTCACCCGACTACGGTAGGGGTCCGAAACCTCAGCCTGCCCAGGCCATCGACGTGGACGACGTGGACCTCGACTCCACACGACCCACCGTGACATGCCCGGTTTGCATGCAAGTCCTCGATCCGGTCGGGGGCGACAGATGGAGCGGTGGAGGCGGAAACATGATGCATGATACCTATAATATATAGGGCAAAAGTGTCTGCCGTTTTTGGGATCTTCTGGGTATAGATGTTTTTCTTTTGAATCATGCATGATAATTTAGGCGCTGGGTTTCTACTGGATGTTCGCAAGATGTGATTCCGTGACATGAAAGCTAAGAACTTCCTGCGAAATGACATCACCATGTGTGCCATCCGGGCCAAGGCCAGTGCTGATGCACATGTGAATCGCCACTTCGAGGAACCCGCCGAGGCAAGGAGAAGATGTGCGGCCCGCGTGGCATCGCCGGTCTCCTGACCCCCAAAGAGATTGAAAAGTAGATCCCCACTGAACATGTATCGGAAATCGTGCTTATCTATTTGGGCACCACTATAATCCACTATATATAATTGACTATATAATGCATAAAGAATTTGGATCAACACACCGGGATGCAGCTTGGAGGGTCTTTGGGTACCTTCTGAGGCAGTTGGAACGTGTTGGAACGTGTTGGACCCCGGTACCATGCGCTAGATGCGCACATGCCGCATGGACCGCATGCCTTGGTCGGTACCTCGTCGGACCTCTTCCGATCTGATGGGCGCCCAAATGGGATCGGTCCCTGGCACTGGCGGACCCTGGTTTTTCCCACAGAACAGACTAGACGACCGGGGAGAGAAACGGGCACAGCCGGATCCACAGCTGTGGTTCTTGGTTGTTTTTATGTCCGGTGCCAGGTACCCGGTGGCGCTGAGCCTCCTGCCAAGCGGCCTCGCCTGAAGGCGGAAGGCACAGCATGGCACAGCACTCTTCAGGTTGTGGGAAGGTCCGTCTTTGTGCTTCTGGACTGTGCTGTGTGTGGCTTCTTGTGGGGCCCACTGTGGGGAGCAGCATGGTCTAGGGCTTTTTCGGATCTCGCAAGAGCCTAGCTTGTTTAGCTTGTCTAGAGAGCCTGGTGTTCAACAACAAATCGTCCTACGCGTCCCAAGAAACCTTGCTTGCTTGCAGGTGCACCGGGATCCGATAGTGAGCCACGACCTTGGAGTGATGGGCGGATGTCAAAAACGTTTTCCAGGCAAACAAAAACTTGACGTCACACCTATTTATACCTAGAACCTGAGCTCGACCTCTATTTTGGACCCCCAACCACCCAAAATATGGTCCAACTTCCTATCAAACAGGGGTCAGGACTGGGTTCCAGGTATAAGTACCTCTAGAATCCCAGCTGATAAACTAAGGAAGACGAGATTTGACCAATCCAAACATGACTCTGACTCACTGAACCAGGACCTTCGGATGTCTTAACCGGCGAGGTTTCAGGTCTTTGTTGAATCGATTCCGAGGAATTGGTCATGAAGTTTGTAAGAAGCAAAATACAAGAATCCAGAACTTGAAAACACACATATACATATATACGTATGTATATCTGTAGATAGATAGACCCCCACATGGATAGAGAAGTAAATCCCCACTACATCCCACTATATACTAAAGTTTGTATTGGAATCTATGTCTATCTAGTTGGGGACCACTATACGCAAACACTGAGAACACCCTCAACCCTTTGCTGGGTTGGCATGATCATCTGCCTCTAAACAGCCACGGGCTGTGGACGTACGCTGCCAAGGTGCGAGATTATTGCTTGACTTCTGGGGACTGTGCGACCCAATCATGGGTGTGGGCGACTGGAGCCCGCTTTGGGAACACAGGGAATCCCTGAATCATAGACATGTGGAGTTGGATTTATGAAGCAAGATTCAAGACAGTCCTCACACCCATGTGTACATAGCGCGAAACATTGGGTCGGAAAGCTCAGCGGGGACTCCGAAAAGAAGATCACGCCACGCATCATGCGTTCCCTGCGTGTCGTCCCCAAAGAGATATAAACAGTGTGCAAACAAGAGCTGTGGATGATGGCAACAGGGAACCCCGGTTGACCACCGATCATCGATACTTGCCCAGCAGGTTCGCCACCCAACAGCCTTTCCCTTTCAGGGGTACCGGGGTGTTGGTATGTGCTCAATCACCGAACATGAACAGAATATTTGAATAGGTGTAGAGCTGGCTAAAAATTTATCTTTAGATCCGTTCGAGCTTTTTCAGTTTGGCGCTCGATGTGTTTTTCTTTCTTAAACACCTTTGGTTTCAAAATCCAGTGTAGATACATGTAGATACTGTACCTGACTGAGAAGATGACATACTGCACAGTGGAGTTCACCAACCTGTTGGGGTATTCAGCCAATGGTCATCCTTTTTGGGGCCATGCCATCCGCGTAACCATGATTAATTAGTTGGAATCAGTGTATCGGCATGTAAATAATAACATTTCCAGCCACGTACAAGCAGATGAGTACTTCGCTTTACTTCAAGGAGTGTATCTCGTCTCTAACAATTTGGATCGACTCTATAAGCACCGGCCACCATGGAACCTGGCACGAGCCGGACCGTGGTCCGGTGGCATTGAGACATCCGTTGGAAGTCAACAAACTATCCCCAAAAGGGCCATCTCTGGTTGGATGACACCTCCTGAAAAGAATCCAAAGCGTGTATCATGCCTGATCAATGGCTACAACAACGTACTTACATTTATATAACAACCCACGGAGGATTTGAATGTTTGGAAAGGAGTTGAATGTGAGTAGGAATAGATGAATAGACAGAAACACTTGGAGTCACGTTATGTCCTGAAGTAGCAGATGAAATGTCCACCAGCAGTCCTTTCTACCAGGAATTGTGGGTCCCAAGAAGAAGAATCTGTACATCGGGAATGTCGGATGCGTTCATGAAGTCTGATAGTCATGCAGGCTGCCACTCGCCGCTTATATATGCTCCTCCCCGCACATTTGACACCAAGGTATTAAAATCACATCAAAAAGGTAGATCTTAGGGGGGTCACCATATATATATATATATCTTTATATATTATATATAATGTCAATACCTGGACCTTCCAAGGATTGTTTTTACCGGAGCTTATGGAATTAGACCACATCGTCCACAAGTAAAAGTATTCTATGGTGCATGGTAGTTGATTGAGGACCTTTTGGATGGTTCCGGTAGCTTGTTGCTTCCGCGGCAGGGTTGGGTGATACTTGTAGTTCCAGATTCCAACAAAGAAGAGATCTGGAAAAGCTCACGGTTCGTGAGGAATTGTAGATGGCCATGGTTTGATGGCTTTGCAAAATGAAAGTCACAGTGCCTTCCTGAACATGAATGCCGCTACACACGCACTGCTGGAGTCTCTTGTCCAAGAAACACCAGCAGCCGACAGGGTCGTTTTGGTCCCCACTGATGTGACCACGACTACCACACTACATGACGACGTCGTCACCAGCCGGCGTCCGCAGAGAATTCCACGCAGGAGACCCACGACCTGCTCCTTTGGACCTGGGATCGCTTCTGTTCTCCTGAGACGGTGATCTATTCCGTGCGCCGGTCACACTTTGGTCGGAGAAGGGTCGGTCATCCGAAGAGGCTAGACGTGGCCAGAGGGGATGGTTGATAGAGAAAAATATGTACGGTATATACAGTACATATATACACGTGCCCTATGCATGACCTATCAACCAAGATAGACACTGTCAGCCAGTACCAAGCTTTCTGCCAGGGTTGGCTGCATCTCGGACTGGCAATTCCTGTTTCTTCCCCTCACAAGGGTTTTATGAATATGCGCAAGCAGCTTGTGAACACTTCAAAAGCCTCCTGACTGGTCAAGGATGTCGGCGCAGCAGACAAGTTTCCGACTCATTCCCTATGTTGGACATGTTCAGGCGGAACCGAGCACTGTAAAATCATCCACCTTCCGCACAGCATCGATGTTTATTGTGGAAATATGCGGGGAGCACCTAGAAATGCAAAAAACGGTGCGTCTTCATCTCCCAGAATCTGGGGCCATGACCTGCGTGGGTGACATGACCTCGCCCTTGAGCCGGGTTGACTGACCTGAGTGAGCCAGGTCTTCATCAACCGACCCTTTTCCTGGAACTTCTTCGTGAAGCTTCATGACTCGGAGTTGTTTGAGGTGGGACGTCTCAGTGGAACAATGACGTTGGTTGGTCCATGGTCATCACTGGTCGTTCACTGGAGTCCATATGAATGTTCTTCCCGAAAGGGAAAAACATGTCACCACCTTTGCCAGGGGGACTAGGAAATGCACAAGAAAACATGAGGAAAACACCGGACTTGAAGTTTGGATCATTAACGGCTTCAACAAACTGCATGGTGTTCAAGATCCATCTTCCAGGGTGTGGACATGAAGTGAATAAGAACTGTGTAAGACATGCAGACAGGTCGAATCGTTTTTTGCCAAAGCACCGGTTGTTCAGCTTTCAGGGGGGACTTCGAAAGGACCTCGTTCTGTTCCAGTAGTGCTGGTCAACGAACTACTTCCTCAATTCTGACACGGCATTGGATCCACTCAGCCTCAAAAGAACCGATCTGCTCAAAGAGCGTTCAACGGGGACCAACTAAACCCAGTCACTCGGAGTCAGTAGAGTGACCCAGAACAGCAACAACTACAGAACAGAAAACCAACAGCAGCAACAACGACAATAACATACAGCTGGGGCTGGAACATATATATGATTGCCCCACTTCAAACCACTCACTATACTGTACTAGTTATCACTGTCACTACAACGACGACTGCTACGACTGAGATGACGACACATGACGACTACTCCGTAGACATCGAACCAGCAGCAACACCGGACCAACCAAAGCAACAATTTGACACTCCTACGGTGGCTGTGACAAGCATGAATGATCATGTGAATGCATGTAGCAAGGTTTGTCTCGAGTCTCAACCTCTAATCTAATCTATATAATACAATATATAGTAACATGATTTGAACCTCTCGGCCTCAAACAACCCAAATTGAAGTGACTTTTGTTTCATACTCGCCTCGTCCCCCCGTCTTCGCTCGTCCGTCTTCAGATAGTCACCCAGTCCTGCCAGTCCTTCTCCTCAGTGGTCGCGGCGCCGCGCGGCGCTGTTGCCGTTCAGGTCCAACAGTTAGATGAGGAGAAGGACTTTGATCCCTGTGGCCTTGAGGAGGTGGCCCCGCCCCGAAAATGAATCGAAAAGGTGAGTGTTCAGACGTAGATTGGTAGCCAGGTTTCGACACTAGGTCGAAATCAGATCTTCTGATGTTTTTGGATAAGGTTTTGGATGCCTGTGGTAACCACTGTATTCAGACTGATTACATTCAACATAGACGGTCCGTAACGAAGGCACTGGGATCGATTGGCCCTCAGGAGCTTGGTGATCGGTTGTTTAAAGAGAAAGGTCTACAGAGGATGCATTCCAATCGACTTGCGGAACATATATGGAATCAAAAGCCAAAAGAGAGTATCATCCGTTTGCACTTCCATTTGCATTAAATATTGATCGGGTTCCGCGATTCTTGGGGATGGTGCTATGGATGGCTCAGATGGCTGCGCTGAATAGCAATGTAAGACTAGGTGTGTTGCAAAGGGGCTAGACTTGGATGATCCCAGACATTGCATGTCCGTCAGATCTACATCCACATCGTCACGCGCAAGGTCTGACAGCCTGTTGGCTAGCATCTCTATTGTCAACACATTGCACATGTGCATCAATCTACTGCTATGTTTTCTAAACATGTTTCAGGTCTGGCAGGCTTGGGTGAACATGTATTCATTACTGCCATAGGTTTGAACCAACGAATGTTTTGGCTCAAGTGACTTGGCCAAAATAGCGTTTGTCAAGTTTCATCAAGTTTCCATCTGTGACAGCGACCACCACAATGACTCTATAGCTACTGACTTGCAGCATTTCCAAATTCACTTTGACCCTACGTGGACCCGAACAATGCCCGCAACCCACGGGTCCTCCAAAGAAATGACTGCCGCCTTTGGGTCGACCGTGCCGGTCCTCCAACGCGAACCAGCGGAGCAAGTCGCCGGGTCACCGGAAAAGGGCGCAACGCGGCGCAACGCGCCGGACACGGGACACGGGACAACTCACGGTCCAAAAGAGATCATCCAATCATGCATCCTACCAGTTTGTTTACCCAGTTGGATGCTCCATTAAAGTAGCCAAACTGATTTGAACATCGACCTCCAGGAAAGGGCCAAACTTCCGGAGCTGCTTTTCTTGTGTCCCGCTAAAAGACGCCAGGGTTTGCGATGGGTTGCGACGGCAACAGTGATTTTATAACTATTGTCTTCTCCAATCTGAGGTGGTGTCAAGTTCAAGATCGTCGTTGGTCGAATTTGCTGCGAATTGGTCGAATCTGATCGCCTCCTTTGGGTGTTGCATCGCCGGTGTTTCCGCCCTGAACAACTTTGCCTCTCCAATCCTCAAAAGCACTGTGTGAGATGGGCCAGTCCTTGCCTGCGCAGTCAGGCTCGAGTCTGAGCATTCAGGTGAAATTCAGAAGCACGCAGAGACTCTTGACCCTTGTACTTTAACTGTTTTCCATTTGACATCTCAAATGGTTTCTCCATCATTAAGAAGCTGATACACGTATGGGGGGGTACAGTCTTCTCCGAGCAAGGGACCCACCCCAAATCCTTGAGTCAAAGATAGTCAAAGTGTAAGATGAATGTATACCTTGACATTCACCAAAAGCCGTGACCTCCAGCGTTCTCAAAAGATGATCAAAAGATGCTGTCTTGACCTCCAGCGTTTGCCATGGCATGAAGCCACCCTTGAGCTTGCCCAAAGCCCCGAACGCCTCCGCCTCCACGCTGCCTCCAGAGTCGACGCCCGGTGTTGCACCCGTCGCAGCGCGGCCAAGCGCTTTGCCGCCCCGATTGGCTCCGCTCCCAGGGCAAGCATCATCTCAAGCTCCTAAGACAGATGTGGCCAGCAATAGTGGCAGCTTGGCAGATGAGTCATGGGTCATATTCAATTTTGCTGGTTACAGATTATCGATTGAAGTTGTTTTTGTTGCATAAATTTGGGTTGCTTTCAAGATGTTTCTTAAACGAGTTTAAGAAGAAAGAGATCAAAGCATGTCATCCGACTCATTGTGGGGGAATGGGACAGGAGTCACGTCGCCCTACCCCTTGAACATTCAATTCGATTAAAACATCAAGTGATGGTACTATTTTCAAACGGATAAGTATTATATATATATATGTATATGTGTGTGTCATGGTCGCACCTCGATCATGCTCCTTGTTGTTTCATTTGGAGCATCGATGAGTTCATCAGCCGGGGCCCTGCGGCCAAGCCTTGCCAAGCCTTGCGGGCCTTGCAAAAGAGGCCAAGAAATCTTCAGAATTTACCGGTGGTAGTCCCCGCCGATCTTTGTAAATTGTTGTGCTCATCCACACTGGCATTTTCCCGGGAAAATGACCTTTCAAACCATGCTGGGAAGAGTCCATGGAGTGTCAAAGCCATCTCAAAAGGGACTCAAGGGGTCCGCCCAGGTAGCCGGACCAGCGATGACTTGGTTTCAGCGGTGAGCTCTGTGGCTTGGAAACAGGAGGGGGAAGATGATTAGTGACCTGATCTGTGATCAAGTGGGCTAACATGGGCTAATGTAGACTACTATTGATTGAATCCCACCATTTGGATTGTAAATACCTTTTCTACACGGATTGTTTTATTATGTTGTATTGATGAAGAGTCAATAATAGAGTATTTTTGAGAAAGGCCTTTACAAACTGTTACAGGGAATGGTATACACCCAATCGCTGCTGTTGTCCGGAGTGTTGCCTCTTGTGTTTTGGACGCATGTGACAAGGTCTCGAAGCAGGCCGAGCTAGACAACGCACCACCCCGTTTGCTGCGACCGCCGCTGGGTTTATGAGGGACGGACGGGACGGTTGCTGTTCATTGGATGGGCTATGAGCGTGGCGACCGGGCATCAGGCAAAATCGACAGGAAACCTTAGTTTGGTGGGTGAAAACACCAGTTTCCTGTAGATTAGTTCATTGATGTATAGAATATCATGGACTGCTTCGGGCCCTGGAATGCCATGATGAAACGTGTGCGGTTGAGCTCTACCTTTGGGGTCTTGGCCAGTCCAATCCCTTATTGGTGGATTCAACCGCTCTTTGGTAACTATCCGAAATGTACACATCTATCGGGCATAGTAAAGAAGGGGATTGGAATGATTGGAACTGGTCGAGGTTTGCTGATGTTCCCTGACCCCTCCGTCGTCAGACCCGAGCTTTCGACAGGTCTATCGAGTCGAATATGGCTGTGGGTCGAAACCCGGAGCCCTAATCTCCGGTAGGTTGACCTTCCGTGGGAAGTCAACTAAGGTTTCCTGCTTACATTCCCCAGCCTCAGATAAGACGAGACGATAGCAGGTCTCTACGATAGCAGGTCCCCTACTTTCAGAGGCAGCCCTTCCACAGCGGTGTTGTTCACCTGTGATCCGATGCAACACCAGCCCTTAGACCCCGGCCCTGGCCCTTAACCATTAAGAACCCCTATATAGTGTGACTACCACTGGGAAGGGAAATAACACATGCCAGACATGCAAGATCATGCAAGATCAGGCAGGTTATCACTGTGTACAAGAGTGTGTTCTTTTTTTATCACTGGCTTAGATGGATTTTCCAGCTGGTCTTTGTTGTTTGGCAACCATTTGTTGACACATGTTGACACCCCAAATGAATCCACATGATTAAACTCAATCTATAGGTGTATGGATGGTGTTCAATCATCTAGCGGCCCTCAAAATCTACACGGATCTAATTACACAGATTTCCAATATGAATATGTCTTGGAGATTGTGTGCCTCTCAAAATATCCATGGTGTGCCTCTCAAGCCGTCGAATGTCAGAAATGGATCACCGGACAAATGAGAAATTTGATAATGTTCACTCAAGAATCAATATAGATTCTGTCACATTTTGTGTGAAGCCTTTATCAATCCAAATTATACCATACTATGCATGCATGCATATATATATATACAGTTATATATACACAGTATTGTATTGTTATTTTTTTGCGTCGCTCAGCTTCAGAAGTCAGATTCGACGGCCATCACCGGATGGGGTTGTAGGTCTTCATATGTGCACATATATATATATATTACTTACAGTAGTAATTGTGACACACGAGATGCTTTTGCAGGCTGGTCATCCTTTGCGCTCCTAGGCCGCCTCCCTTGAGAGATTCGCCCTTCCCAGCGCCCATCTTCTGCGGCCCGGACGCGGAGGCCGCCGGTCTCAGTGAGGCGCAGGCAGGCCAAGTGGCCGGGATGGTGAGAAACCGGATCCATGCATTGAGCAGAAAAGACACGTGGCTCATTCCAAATTCTGACTATATTGTTGTTGTTTTTGCATTCTATACATACATATTGCTATAAAGTGTCTTTTTGCTCGAGGACCACAGAAACAAAGAAACCAACCAGCGGAAACCATCGACGGCGGTCCCGAAAAACGACGACGACCATGGACTGCGTAACCACGGTCTCAACGACCAGCGAGAATTCCCCAACGTGAGGCCGAAGGGTGCTGAAAGGTGTCTTTCCCCGCCTACCAGAGCACTTCTGCCGGTGTACCAGACTCACTTGCCGTGTCATGATTGTCATCGGATTTCCATGACAGTCACTCCCAAGAGACTGAAGAAGTAGCACCATTCGAAGCCTACGCATGTTGATGTTAGGAATGGTTGTCATGGCGGTCATAAATTGCTCATTGTTAATGCTCGCAAATCGTTGCAAAACGATTGGGTCCAAAAAGACAATAGCCTACGTTCATTCGCTATAACTCAGCCGGTGTTATTCTTGTTTTGTAGTTTTGTGCCCAATCTCTGTCAGCAAGCCTGGACACCTGTCATCCATCTCAATGTCCAACCACAGGTTGGTCGCAGACCTGGTAGCAAATGCCTCATGTTCATTTTGGTACTCTCGTTGACCGCCAACAATGTAATAATTAGGCAAACGTTTGCTGTGTTGGAACATACGACACCTCAACGATGCCTTAAAAAAACGCACCTACATAAACCATATACACAACCATACCATGTTCTGTCACGTTTCTGGGCCCTTCGGCAGTTGACCATGTAACCCCAACGACCATCCAATGGGATCGGTCTGCCTTCACGCTGCCACAGTGCTGCTCCCCACACGAATGCTCCGCCAACCGTTCCAACATCACCATGTTGAACGCCTGCTGTACAGAATTGCTGTCCACCTGAGTGGTCAAAAACTCTTTTAAGATTGATACCGCTTAGGTCATTGGGGGTGGTGCTTTTTTTTCTTTGATACCCTATCGTTTTCCAACAGTTTGGTACCTTTCTACCTCGTAGTCATTTTGCACCACTGCCCATCAAGTTCTGTTTGTGAGCTTCCCAAGTGGCCTGCCAATTCTGAATTGCGTTCAACTTTGAATGACTTGTACACTGGTATTCGTGCGAATATGAAGAAACTTGGTGAAGAAAGAATTCCCCCACTTAAACATGGACATGTAGAAAAAGTTGGCAAAGCGAAACTAACTAGCAATCCCACTTTCTGAGTCTTAACCACTTCCCACAACATGACCTATTCCAAACCAGGGGTTGTTGAAAACACACTTCACTTCAGCCTCCGAAACCGAAAACGCCTGTCCTTGTTGTGAGGATGATGCCTCGAAGTCTTTGAGCTTGGGCCCTCCAAGCCTAAAGACTTTGCCACCTGCGCCACGTCAGCCTGTGGAGGCGAGGGGAACAGCAAATGACGAGTGGTTGTTCATTTATTTTTCTGGGTTCCGAAGAAGCACGAGGGAAAGGACTTTTCGAAGCACGTCATACAGAAATTATTGGGGGTTCCCCTTTTGCAGATGAGACTGGCTGATACTACTGGTAGGTGTTCAAGACTGTTTCCAGAAAAGTCATCACTGGACCTCACAAAAGTGGTCGAAAGACTGGCTGCACAGACATATTATGATTTTGATGACATATCTTGTATATATACTGTACATGTCTATATATAGGCCTTTATCCGTGTTGAACATTCTCGAAAAAAGATGAAAAGACATCGGGAATCGGCAAGACCAAAACGCGCTGTTTTCCATCAGTTCCGAAGCTGCCACGATGATTTGGTCGCCCGGGCGGCGGTCGGGGCGGGCGGCGGAGAAAGGGTGGTATTTGGCCGTTTTGGCCCTTGGTCCCCACCATTCCAGCCATACCAGAGATCGGAAAAGGCCAGTTTTGCTGTGTTTTCGACCTTTTCTTGGGCTTTGGATAGTTCTGGGTACTGCCCATCTCGATTGTGGTTCTGAAGCCTTTAGAATGATTGACACCAGAGGACTTCGCTCGGGACCTCGCTGTGACGACTTGGCGACATGCGTCCACTGACTTGGGCATCACTGTTTCAGTGCGAAGTCACACTGCAAAGAACAGGACTACCAGGACCCCCAGGACCGGGGTGGTAGACATGGACACCCCAAATCACAGCTGTTTGGGGCTATTTACATAGACACCCCGACAGGAGGGTCCTGGTATTATATGTACAATCTACTAGGAGCATCTAAGGGGTCACGGCGAGACCGTGTGCAGGAACCATCAGGACCCCTTGAACATCCCAAGAAGCTGCCCCGGTGGCGCCGGTTCAGGTTTCGACCAGTTCTCAGCTTGCCTCTGAAAGGGCCGAGACACAGATCAAGGTATCAGAGGCACCTGGCAAGAAACCGTTTGCAAGAAGGATGTTGAGCCGGCTTCAAATGGAAATACATTTTGAAACTTGCGAGCTTGTGTAGTGGAAACATGTGTGAGTCCTGACATCCAGAGGTTCCCTAAAGATGTCCCATGCAGGTTCACGTTTCACCAATAATAATCCATGATCTATCTACATTTGCTCCATAGGCTCTTGGGTTTGCAAGTGATGCAGAATTTGTGGGTCAACACGAGAAAGCTCTGACTGTTGACATGGGCCGTGAGGCACTTTCTGCGCAAAGTGGTGCTCCTCGGATCGCTATCTCAAAGGAAAGCGACCACGTTGTTGAGGTGCGGGATTTCTGTGAAAGGAAACGACTTACGAATGCTTAGAGGCGTAGAGCAAATGAGAGAGTGCGTGAGCAACCCAAACACCCCACAGCTTTGCAGAATGACAAGAGTTTGCATAGTATTGTCTCCACTACCTTGGCATGATGGACGCTCTTTGGCTAGGAAAAGCCGGAGACAATTGCCGAACGTGTTGCTTCAAAGGAAGCAACCAACACTCTGGAGGCACCTGACAAGAGTTTTTGCATTGAGCAGATATTTCTTACCAGATGTTACAGTAGGTGACTCCATGCGAAGGAACAGCGAAGAACTGTTGTTCTTTTGGAGTGTGGCATTGAAATACAGAAGCCCGGACATAAGATTGAAGATGTATCGCCTTTGCCACTCTATACGAGAGCAGACATGCTGACCCTGGGAAGATTCTTCTTATGGTTCAGTCCAGTTGCCACAGTTCGGTGATATTTTTTTGCGTGGGCCATGAGGCACTTTCTGCGCAAAGTGGTGCTCCTCGGATTGCTATCTCAAAGGAAAGCGACCAGGTTGTTGAGGTGCGGGATTTCTGTGAAAGGAAACGACTTACGAATGCTTAGAGGCGTAGAGCAAATGAGAGAGTGCGGGAGCAACCCAAACACCCCACAGCTTTGCAGAATGACAAGAGTTTGCATAGTATTGTCTCCACTACCTTGGCATGATGGACCCTCTTTGGCTAGGAAAAGCCGGAGACAATTGCCGAACGTGTTGCTTCAAAGGAAGCAACCAACACTCTGGAGGCACCTGACAAGAGTTTTTGCATTGGGCAGCTATTTCTTACCAGATGTTACAGTAGGTGACTCCATGCGAAGGAACAGCGAAGAACTGTTGTTCTTTTGGAGTGTGACATTGAAATACAGAAGCCCGGACATAAGATTGAAGATGTATCGCCTTTGCCACTCTATACGAGAGCAGACATGCTGACCCTGGGAAGATTCTTCTTATGGTTCAGTCCAGTTGCCACAGTTCGGTGATATTTTTTTGCGTGGGCCATGAGGCACTTTCTGCGCAAAGTGGTGCTCCTCGGATTGCTATCTCAAAGGAAAGCGACCAGGTTGTTGAGGTGCGGGATTTCTGTGAAAGGAAACGACCTACGAATGCTTAGAGGCGTAGAGCAAATGAGAGAGTGCGTGAGCAACCCAAACACCCCACAGCTTTGCAGAATGACAAGAGTTTGCATAGTATTGTCGCCAGTACCTTGGCATGATGGACCCTCTTTGGCTAGGAAAAGCCGGAGACAATTGCCGAACGTGTTGCTTCAAAGGAAGCAACCAACACTCTGGAGGCGCCTGGAAGTAGACATCAATGTTTGTACTTAGTTATTCTATGTGATTCTAGTCTATGGACAATAGGCGTAAGCCATGCGCGTGCAAAATCACAGCGTCAATAGCTGTTTCTAAAAACTCGTTGCCTTTGGGGCTTTGTGCCATGCATGACAGACACCACGACGTCAGAGTTGCTGCAGACGTTTGGCGCCAGTTAACTTGTGGCAGACCGAAGTGTTACACAACGTTGTGTCCTGACCGGCAGAAGCAAACGACAAGCTGCAGGTGTCACCATGCAAAGCACCGAGACACCTGAGAAACAAGACTAGTTGATGGTTTCTGACATGTTTCTTTTCAACCCTTACTTGGGGATGATTGGACCCTCTGACTTATTTTTCAAGTGAAAACACCAACCAGAAGATATTGAACAATGATTTTAGTTATACCATGTCATGCCTCTTGTTTATTTGTTGTCGAAAGGGTGTCTGCAGATTGCGGGGTCGTTTTCTCACCCGACGTGCTGGTCCCCGATCTCGCGTGGGGGAGGTCCGAAGCCCGAAGAAGCTGCTTGGCCAGGAATTCCCTGTGGCCGCTCCAATGCTGGCGGTCGAAGCCGAAGAAGCCGATGACACCGTACTGCAGGTGCCCTGGTACCGATGTTTGGTTCTTGGAGACCATTCAGACATGGCCTGATGCGAGATAGGATATCGGATAGATAGGGATTTAGGTGGACATGGTTCCCGTTCCCAAGCCAACATGATCCATTTCCTGATTTTTTACATTTTCCCGTCCTCATCTCTCCAACCTCTGGGCAGCAACCGCTGCGCTGCTGCGCTTGGTCAGGAATTTCCCGGCAGCGCCCCAGAAATTCATGGGCTGGAGGCAAAGGTCCAGGGGGGGAAAGGAGAGATTCTTGGTTCCTATAAGATAGATAAGATAGTTGAACGCATCTCCAGAATAGGCAAGACAATGTTGACATCATGTTGACATCGTGCCGATGACGCAGACGACGGGGCCACTGGACATTTCTGATGTTTGCTAGCCCACCGTGTCGTGGTTCCTTTGCTTACCATTATCAAGATTCCGCCAGTGGCAGTCATAGTGGAGCCAAGCCTCAACATTCAACCCAAGCCTTATGTTCGAAGTTTGCGGGTATTGTAACTTCAACAAACCTTGGAAAGCAATCCCTAGGGCTCCAACCACCTCCTGAGAAGATGGTTGGGGTGGACTTGGGGGGTCTAACCACCTTCTGAGGATATGGGCCAGGAGCCCTAGGGAATAATTAGATACCAGATAGTGTAGTGTTGCATCCAACTCTTTGGATTCAAGACACCCCCGGCCAGAAAAAAAACACATGTGACAGGTGGATGGATCTTCAGAACCAGCCGGTTGAACACCCCACCCGGTCGTTTGACCAGTCGTCTCTGCCGGTACCGGGAGTGAAGCCGTTGCTTTGGAGAAAGAAGAGCACCACCGAGCACCACCGTTGCCATGCCACGGAGCACGGTGCAGATGCGAATCGATTCTCCTCACGGACACGGGATGCGAATCGAGCATGATGCCAGCATCATAGAAGAGACGTGGGCTTCATGGAATGCGCATGAACCTTGCTGAAGCAGGGCAGTGTTTCATGATTATCACATTAATTCACATTATTATCACTTATCACTAACTTGGACTTGTCGATGGCTTCGATGGCTTTTCCAGAATGGCTTTTCAAGCCTACTCGGCCAAGCATTCAGCAGCATGGCAAGTCGGCTTGCTCTTGCTCTTCCACCAGCAGTGTGCTGACCAGAGTCTTTACCAATGACTCACAGAGCACATTGAGGACCGTGAACTTCAGACTGGACTGCAGCCACGCGCCATCCAAACGAAGACTAATGGACCTGCATTCTCTGAAGCGGAGAGCAACTTCAAACCACAATGGGCAGAGCATTTGCTGGAGCATCACTTCGTAAGAAACATGTACCCATAGAAATCATTTCCCATGTGCCTCTTAACTCCAAAGACGTCTTTTTCTATTTTTTTTCTACTGTAGTCTTCTCATACCAGCTGCACATCAATCCCTGAAACCATCCTCATGTTGATTGACGAAGATGTCATGCATGATGTCTTCCAGAAACTCGTAGAGTTCGGGCAGTGGAGTTCGGGCAGTTCGGTTCAGCTGCTTCCGAAGAAGTCTCGAGGGATGAAGCTCCTCTGTCCTCAACTCCGCCTCTCCTGAGCCAGTTGAAGAAAAGACTTACAATGTGTTACAACAATCAAACAATGAATGGAAAAATGTTTTCCATTTCCGACTTCACTGGGTTTATATCAATCTCAGTTGGGCTCAGAGAGCCTCAGACCATGGCTCAGACCATGTTTACCAATGCATTTTTTCTGGGTTTGTCCCACCAGCCGAAGACATCAAGTCAGTTCAAGAGAAATTCAGCCGACCGACTAGTGTGACGAACTCGTGAATTTTCCGGTGGGGACGAAACTTTCCTCGCCTCACTTCCATATTATATATCTATATAAATCTATTCGTGTGAAGGTGAGATCTTGAGATCCAGTTCCTAATACCTTCTTGTTCCTAGTAGTAAGGCCAGGAGCCCCTAGTAGCATCCTCATCTTGAGATCCAGGCTCGCCAGTTTGACGTGGCAAGGCTGAGCGCCGAGGCCGCGTGGAAAAGTGGGTTCAGACTCGAGAGAGTCTTTGTCCGGAGGTACGTGGACATGCCCAGCTCGTTTTTCGATTGAAAACACTCACTAAAATCAAGTTTTTATTTTCCAGTGAAACGGCTCGGGGGTCAGTAAGATCGAGTGCACTCAGCGTCCACTTTCTGTTTGGAAAGAGGGTGACTTTCCACTCCTTCAGCAACCGGTTCCATCAAACACACCGGAACCGGTTCCGCCGCAAATGGGATGGACCAAACTTGCAGTCTGACCAGCACGTTTTCTGACACCACCAGAGAAAACTAGAGGGCGCCAGGTGACAAACTGTTTAATGTGAATTACGCATTCTGAATTGCTCTCAAAATCACAGGTCATTCTTTGAGGCACCTGAAATAGTTTGTCATGGTTAAGTTCAGTAAAGCTTGCTATAGCTTGCTGTGCTGAAATCAATGGTGGAAGGGAGGGTTTCAGTCCCAGACCATTCATGTATGGAATCATTATACATTAGTCAGGGTCATAATTGGGGCGAATGGTGAATCTATGTAACACTTCTATGTTCGGATGCTTTGGGACGCAGCCAGCTGCCGCATGGCTGTCGCGTGGCGGTCGCGCGTGGCCACATGTGAGACCGAGACCGACGGCGTTGCGGAGACCGGGTCGAGTTTCAGGTGATTTGAGGAGAAGAGCGTCTCCTGTAATAGGAGGGAATGTCTGAAAAGTACGGCGTCTCAGAGAATATAATATAGTTACCTTTTTTTCAAGATGTGGAACCATCAACCTCAAAAAGGATCAAACAGATGTTTTTCCATCCAGGACTTTCGGTCAGAGATTCGATTCTCGGCCCTCGATTCTCGGTGTCCCTGGAACACAGCAGGCCGATGAAGTCCCAACGCCGCCGCGGGGGCCGAGCGCGCCTGCTTCCTCAGCCTTCTTCGTGGCCCGGACGCGAGAGTGAAGTGAATGTTCGCCGGATCAACTGCAGGATTGGGAATGCGGGGAACATCCCACGAGATTTGTAGAACAGGTGGAAAAGGTGAACCTTTCCCAGACACTCCATGGGACTGGCATATTTACCGATCAGTTGGGGTGGTGCCAGGGGGGTCAATGGGGCGGCATATATGGCAGTCCCATGTGTCGTGTCTGGGTGTGATTTTCCAGCGAAACCCATGCAGTCAGAAGATGCGGAGGACGCCAGAGAGCGGCATCGGACTGGACAGGAGGACATGGATCGAGTTGTTAGGAACATTGGGAAGGGTGCGTGATCGAGGGTTATTATATGGCTCGGCTGTGGGTCAAAATTCCGAGACCGTTTCACCCTGCTAGGTTGACCTCCTGATTCTGTTCATGTTCCGAGATCAACCAGGGTCCCCCGGTTTTGACTTACAGCCACATGTGATCAGAGTCCTGAGTCCTGGGGAAAGACGTTAACGCATCCTCAACTGGAATCCTCAGGTCAGCAGGAATCTCGTTGATGTCCTCAATGGTCAAAAGTGGTGATGTCCAGATCGAACCATATCGAACCGAGAGGTGTGTGAGTTAGTTCAGCAACCTTTGGATATCGGTCATTAGTTCAGTCACTGTCAGTGATTTCAGAGCAATGAAACACTGCCACGGTGGAACACTGGTCGACCCTCCTTGGACCATCTTGGACCTGGATGGGGCTGCAACCCACGTCCGCGTCTGAGGACGCTGCGTCCAACCTGGAGGCTGCATCGCTGCACTCCGCGAAGTCTGCTGATTCTGATGTAACGGTTCGGGATGGTGATTTGATGCTCGGATGCAGAGGGTTTCAGTATTAGACATGGGTCATGGGTCAATGACCGGCCAGACGGGGACCCACTGTGTGTTTGTTTGTTGGTTTGGTTTGTTTGGGCCAACGTTTTCTCTTTGGTTGGTTGTTATTTGGGTGTTACCTGGGGTGGATGCTTGTCGCTGGCACAGTCGATGAACGCTTTTGACATCTTCAGATATGGTGACATTCGAGCTGTTGGGCTCGCTAGCCAGGTACCCTCAAATCGATGTTTTTAGGACAATTGAACTATTGTTATGGGAAGGACCATGAACACTAGACAAACTATGGCAAACTGCTCGAAAAAGAACATATTTAATACTATTTTGAAGGATTCCCGTTTGATTTGGGATGGAATGCATTTGATTCTGGGCAAGGTTTTCCTGTAACAAATGTATGTAACTTGTCATACCTGGTTGAGCCTGTATTCATTTCATGTGGTCGTTGTCATGCCACATACATTAAAAATAGAGCATGGCTAACCTTTTTCACCACAGTAGCCCCCACCAACCCCCACCAACTGGGGGCCAGTGGGGCCACTGGTGTCACTGGCGCCACTAATAGTCATCCCAGACTGTGGCACTTCATCGATTGCTCACTTGTTGCATATGAACACCGCAGCATGCAATGCTTCGGTTCTATTTGATGACCTCAGGTCGCCAGCACAGCCGCAAACCGCCGCGCTCCCCAGCGGCCCCAGTGGCCCGAGTGGTCCAAGCAACTCGCTTCGACTGCCGATCCCCGATGGTCGACCAGCCACCCGACGGCAGTCACGTCGGGACACACTGAAATGAGCATGTTCGAGTCAGAAAAAGTGTGACATAGACACCCAGGCGCTCCATGTATTCCATATATTTCCATATATATATATTATATATATATTATATGTATATACCTACATTGGGATGGTTTTGGGGGTCAATGGGGCGGCATATATGGCAGTCCCATGGAGAGTCTGGGATATGGTGATTTTCGGATGGTGGGCAAGATATCAGATTCATTCTCTCATACCATGACATAGAAGGACTGCAATGATTTGCATACCAGGACCTTCAAAGTTACCTTTTGATATCCCAGGATGAGGTCACTTAGGCCTGTAAAAAGTCACTTAGAGACTGCAAAGAGGCCACTTGGAATGTCCTAGTATATAGATAGATTTTTGTTTACAAGCTTGGCACATGCTCTACCCTGAACATAGATATGACATGATATGTTGCTCCCACACCATGGTTTCCTTCTACGATGCGGTGGTTGACACGACCCAACTTGTCGGTAGAAGCAGCAACAGACCCAGACACGACACAGGCACGACCCACGACCCAGCAGGACGTCATCCCTGCAGGAATTGACTCCCAAAATGTGAAAAGATCCACATACACCGTAGATAATGTACACATATCATATGTACACATACACCGTAAACGCTAAACGTGACGTGCCACCAGATGTGTTCGCTATTCCATATGGTGTGTGTTGCAGATGTCTAATTTCCATCTATGTCCCCTTGAATCTTGATGCGGATCTTGGTTCGTTGCTATTAATTAGGTTGGAGGCCATCGCTACTAGGGTGGAGACCATCCCTGCTAGCGCGGAGGCCATAGCTATTAGGGTGGAGACCATCCATGTGGAAAGACCTCCCATGTGGAAGGACCTCCCATGTGGAAGGACCTCCCATGTGTCCCACCTAGGCTGAAGGCCGCCGTCCACGGCGACAGCGTGTGTCGACCATCCCGGCCACGGCAAGGGTGCCCAAGGGGTGCCCGTCACGGGCAGACGCTGTGAGGGGTGGTAGGGACACACTCATGGATGGCCTTTGGTTGATTGATCAATAGAGGAAATACCCCGGTGTGTGTACAAGCAATAGGTGTATGGTGGCCAAGCAATAGCCCCTCTCTTGTTCTCACGGTCGGACATCATTGGACACACCGACCAAAAAGGATCAAAGATGAAGAATCATTTCCAAACATGTGTCCTACTATATCTTCCACATCAAAGACACACACACACACTACAACGCCCTAGTTCTCGCACCCAACGACCAGAGGGTGTGAAACGTCACTTGGCCGTGCACCACAAAGGCCCGCGCTTCGGAGCGCTCCAGTGAAGAGGAGGTGCTGCGAGTCTATCGGCAGATCAACGACCGGCAACGGTCCATGGTCAGCCTTGAGGACCCCCACCGCGTGGCCACGCTGGCCCATCTGCGCACTAAACACGAGAAATTGGCACGTCGCTTTGATGATGGCTGCAGATTTCTGGGTCGTTCGAGGCAGGTGACAGGCCAAAGGGAGAGGTGAAAGGCCTGCTGCGTCATTGGATTTGATCCCATGAAAAGGATGGGCTTGACCTCTGCAATAATTATGCAGTATTAAAAAACAAAAAATTGTTTGGTGAGATCATTACACAGCCCATCACCCTATGTTGTTTGGCTAACTTGTGAACTAAGCATAACTTTTGCACAGTCAAGGTTGTGCTTATCTTCCAAGGTGAATGGTTGGTTGGGTAGGGACTCCGGGACTCCTTGGGATGTGAACCATTCAGGTGTAAGATGGTGTAAGAACCTGCACTTTGCCATGTTGGCTCAAGTGCATGTTCTAGAGACCTTTTTCTTCTCCGCCCTGCCACCCTTGACACCCTCTTCGGGCCCGGGTACCCTTTGGCAGGGTTGAACGATGAAGTTCATCAAAGGCAATGACTTAACAAGCTGGTGAGTGTGTTTTCCGAAACGACGACTGAAATCCAGAGTTAAATCATAACACTACTGTCCAATATCTGTGAGTACACGCTGTCTCCCGCATGCTTGCAGCGTTGAGAAGTTGAGAATAAGATGTGGTGCTTTGTACGTACCTAAACCCTCATGTTTCATGGCTTGATTCTGGTTGGTCACTTTCCGGAGTTCAAAGATGGCGGAGTTCTGCATCAGTGCAGACCAACAAAAGGTTTAGGAGCCCACGGGCCTGTGGACTGGAATTCCCTCATGTGGTTTATCAAGGACCCCGCGTGGAAGAAGATGTTGTGTTTGTATGTGTTTGTATATTTTGGTGGTGGTAGGGCGTTGTAAACTCTTTTCATTACTGGTGAAAAAACACATGCATGGTTAATGTGTTTTTCATTTTGAAGATGGCCTTTCTTTCATGGATTTTCCGTTGGACAGACTTTCCATGGCGCTTTCTCTCGGAGTTCAAACTGATAGGACGCGTGCTCTGATCATGACAGTTCTGCCGCCTTTTCGACCCTTGTTTCAAGCAGAGAACAACTGACGACACCTGGCGAGCCTGGCTGTTTGCCCAAACACTGTCTGGGGTCGGTGCTTTTGGTGTGAAAGAGGGTGGTAAAACCAACAAAGTCGCCTGACCGTGGGAAGGACCTACGCGCCTACGTGGGCGACTTCTTGGGCTTCGGGCAAAAAGAAGTGGAGACCTTCTTCGAAGAGTTCGCGGAACACAGCGACGGGCGCGGGCCCCCAGCTTCGGCGCCATGACCGGCCACAGAGGGCTTCGAAATCAGGATGAAAGAATTTTGGACGCGAAAAAGCAACATTGTTTGGAGTTCAAGAACCAGGCTGAAGAGCACGAATGTTGGCCTTAAAGATGTTAAACATACCACGGCAGTTTAGTTTCAGGTTTGTTGCAATGTCACCACTTTGCCGTTTGCACCGAGGCAGACCGGTCTGACACCTGAGGGATGCTTGGCAGAGAACCCGAGATGAGATCCTTGATTTCCACATGCCAAGATACCACTTACCCTGGTTCCAAATAGTGGGCCTCGCCCAAAAACCCTTGGAACGAGAGCTGTGAGCTCAAGAGACAAGTCACAAGAGAGCACGTCGTCCTGACTCCTTTGGCGTTTAAGGATGTTTGTGGATCAGAGATCTCTTAGCTGCTGATAGCTGCCGATGGTTTTTTATCCAGCCAAGTCTTTTCTCGCCAGGTTTGCGCGCGGGCTTTGGGCGGCTGAATCCGTAACTCGTCTCCGGTCGAGTTCGACAGAGAACGTTCCCGGGTCAGCCTGGCTGTGGGTCAAGACATCACCCACCAAACCGTAGGTTAACACTCCTTATAATTAGAGGTTAGACCTTGGTAGGTTAGACCTTATAAACCATGGTAGGTTAGACCTTGTAGGCTTTTGTAGTTTTGAAATGTTTTGAAGAGTGAGGACGAGAAACGATGAGGAGGGTTTGCCTATTAGTGGTTATTGGTCAGTCCCTCCGATGGCTATCATCCAACCAAGTCTACTAGCCAAGTGTATTGAACTGGAATCTGATTGATTTATGTTCTAAATGCCTGTTGTTTTAAGGATCAGGGTAGGGGCCGAAACTTGTTAAAGCCTGTTGAAAGGACCTTCACCTGCTCAAGGTGCATCATATGACCTTCCTACAGCGCGGAATCGGAATGGCATGGAAACCGTGTCATACAAATCAAACTGATCTCACCTTTTTATTCAAGGCATTCACATGCACTCACCCAGTTGACTAGATGGGTGTGTGTTGTTTTCAGTTGGTGTGTGTTGTTTTACAAATCTCGTGAGCTGTCAAGGTTTCAGATCATGAACCGTCAAGAAGAAGTCATCCTTCGAAAGCCTGGATCGCTTTGTGGGCAGCAACTGACCTTGGAGATGCTTGGCACCCCGCGCCAAGACCCCGATCGACCCCAAGACCCCAGGTCGTTTGAGGTTTCACCGGCACTGGAAGTAGGGACAATTGTTGATGGCTTTGTTCATATGAGAATTTGATGATACTTGGATGGCCGGCGCAAAAAAAGACCATCAATCATGGCGCTTTTGACGTTTTGTCCTGCTCAAACTTGGTGAAATGTTCAACCTGAATACCTTTCCCACTTCGGACCAGGAGTTTGCACATGTTTGCACTGGTCACTGTCACCACTAAAGGGAGTCAAAAAAAATAGGCTAGTCGCGGTTCTCGCTCTGCTGAGGACCTTGGATCACTGTGAAGTCTATGTGTGCGACACGAGCGCCCAAGTCTTCATCGACTACTGTAAGAACTGTCTCATCCTGCTGGGCCCTTGCGAATCCTCCGCTTTTGTCCGGGACTGCGAGGACTGTACGATCTGGTGTGCGGCGCAGCAGCTGAGGACGGAACCCGTTGAAATCATGCTTCTGTCGCTGTTCTTTGGTTCGCAGGATCAATTGACCCGTTCTGAACATTTATAGGAAACCCATAGCTTTGGTGGTGAAAGCCGTGGTTTCCTGACGATTTTCCCTTAAACCAATCCATTGATTCTCAACTTCTGACTGAACAGTGACACTTTCCCAAGTCAGCTGACCTTAGCGGGAGTTCTAGCTGTTCCAACCTTATGCAACTTTTAGGACTCGGGCCTGTAGACGCTGCCGCTTTTTCATCTACAGCAAAACAGCTCCCATCATCGAGGAATCTCATGACTTGACAATTGGCCCTTGGTGCACCAAATATCCCTGCTCCGGTGCTCACTTTGATCAAATGCGCTTCGATACCAGTCGCAACTTGTGGAATGCTGTATTTGATTTCAGTGGTGAAAAGGACCGGCCACATTGGAGAATACCCTCCTTAGAAGAGGTGGAGGAACTTCACATCACTCTTGATGGTGAAGGCCCACCGGAAAATTTGCTTCCAGCCGTCACTCATGAGATGCTGATTGCAGCTCCACTGGAATCAGAAGAGCCCTGTGGACAAGGCCTGTCAATTCCCCAACCACGGCCACCGCTGCCTTCAAGAACAGAGGGTCCAAGGCGGAAGGACCTCATGGACAAGCCTGTGAAAAGTATGCCTGCAATCGCAGCAAATGGCTTTGAAGCAGAGAGAACTTGGACATGCAGCAGATGCACCATGCACAATACGTTCAGTGCCACAACTTGTGCGGCCTGTGGCTTGCCACCAGCATCTGAACATCTTTGGACTTGTTCCAAGTGCACCTTGCAGAACAGTCTGAGTCTGGAGTACTGCGCTGCATGCGGAAGCATGAGAGCCCTACGAAGTCCAATTGCTCCCGCAGCTGGTGGTCTCTATGGCAGTAGCTACAGCTCCGCACACGGTTTGCCAGAGGAGCCAGAAGAGCCTCCAAAGCGCAATGGATTCTGCTCCTTCCTCTCCGAGGTGGTTCGGCCCATGTGCATCAAATCACTAGAGAAGTCTCGAACCTGACCAACCATCTTTTGGACCTTCTGGAATTTGGACTATGTTGAAGAAGCAGTGTCGGTGGAGCCACCCCGAACATGGGTTCAAGGGAAGAAGGCATCTCAACATGTCTGACGCGTGGACCGCTAATCTGAATGGCTGTGCAACTGGTATGGTGGCGGCCGATCAGGGAGAGTGTTGCGATCTTTGGAGAATACGGAGGACGAGATCCCATTGAAATGACCGGACTACATGATCAATCATCTTGGTCACAACCAGATCATATTCAAAACAATGCGAGGATCAGAGACGATGGATATTACCAAATGCGTTGATGGAATATATATATTGTCTATAGATATATATATATATTGATTTCCATATAATATAACAATATTATATATATATATATATTTATATTAATATTATATAATAATCGATCGAAAGGTCGACACAATATTGTTTTCTTGAATTTATAAATATATATATATTGTTTTGTTTTGGGATTCTTTTTTCGAAAGATTTTTACAACAAATGTATATTAAAATTATATATATAATAATATTTATATAGGATTAAAATTTAATATTAATAAAATATTTATATATTTAATACATTTATATTAATGATTTAATGGGATTATAAATATATATATAATTAGATATATGTATATATATAATATTTATATATATATATGATATGTTATAGGCTTTTCGATGGGAGGTTTGTTTCGATTTTACCGTCGAGGATTGGGGAATGAATTATTTGCCAATTATTATACGAAATGAAAAATTCGTAGATTGCATAATTTAGGATATGATGCCAATTTATTTTTTTTTGCTTAGGATTTGTTGGATTTATAACTATAAATTACTTATACATTAATCGTATTTTAGTGTTTGGCATTCGATCTAAGATTTTGATTAATTGGAATAGGCAACAAATTATCTTTCTATATTTTATGCATGCTTTTGGTCGTACGGTTAATTGGATTGAATATTAGGTAATTAAAGTGTATAGGTAGATCAGCACGCAAGGTCTGAACCTGTTTTCTTACGCAAAAGTGGGGTCGTAATCTAACGTTAGCTTAAGGGCCAATCAACCGTGAATTGACATCAAACATACGAAAGTGAGAATTGCAATCAAATCGGGGAAGGAAATAAAAAGAATTGGATCATTTCGGTTTGCGGAAAATATTTAAAATGGTCCGACTTTCATTTCCTAAATTGGTCCTCGTAGGAACTAATAAACATCCATGCTCTATACTGTCGATCGGGGAGCTTGCTCATGGTGTTGTTCGTTGGGTCGTATGTGAGAGCTGTTTGTTGAATCTTCTCTTGAATTTCATTGTTGCGAAATTTTTCCACTTGCTTTCCCTTTGGATCACCTTCTTATCCAAGCATGAAAACCTGGTGGGTTAAATCTTGGATTTCGGCCTCTTTTCGCTTCACCGTCATGTGGGTCTCCGAAACCAAGGTGAAATGTCCGTTCAGGAACCTGTATCATTGTTTCACCTCAGCATCGCTTGCCTCTTCACTTCGCTTCTTCAAAATTAGGGAGAGGTATTCACGAATCCTCACCTTTGGATCGAGGTGCTGAATGATGTGTCCCCTCATGCTTGAAGTGAAGTTCTCTGTCCAAAGCATCTTTGTGATTTCAACCCATTTCTTCTGGTTATTCTCTTGAAAAACCTCTTCGTAAAGAGTATTCCACCTGACGATTTCTTCTGCACTGGGTTCACTCGGGTAGTCCTCCTCTTCAGAGGTTAGGTCATTCTCATTGTCCGGGTTATTCGCCACAACGCCATGGCTCAAACCTACGGCTACAGGAGTGTTATTCTCAACCATGTGCACATTCACAGGGGCCTAGTCATAGACAGACACAAGCAAAGCTCTGATCTTCTGTGCAGCTTTGTTCAAACACTCAAAAATCATCCGGAAGGAACTCCAAGCGCCGAGGAAGGCAAAGAACAAAACCACCAACATTGTGTTGTAAAAACGGGTGTCCTCGCTTCCATCCAAATCAGCTGCCTCAGCTCCAGGGATGTTTTCTGCCGTGAGGATTGTGAGCGCACACACAGCGGCTTTCTGCCATTCATCTCCGCCATTGCCTTTTCGAAATTGGTGCAAATAGTAATGCCTCCTGGAACAGTAAGCATTCTTTTCGCTTCCTGCCTCTTTTGGCTTCTTGCAGCCAGGAAGACGGCAAAGTCCTTCTTGCTCTTTCTCCTTGGGGTCTTCAGCGAAACAGATCTGGCCATCGAAGAGAGATTCTGCAGCTTTCTCAAGCACCTTCTCTTCCACAAGGCGATCTTCTTTGGAGACCTTCTTGGCTGCTACAAATCCAGGATCGAAGCAAAGCGAATGAACACCCCTCGAAAGCACATGAGCCAGGGTGTCCTTTGAACTGCCTTTTGTCAGTCCATCTGCCAACTGCTGTAGTGAATTGCACCAACGAACTGTGGATCCAGAAGCTTCCAAACGTTCACGAAGAATGCAAATTTCTATGGCAGTTCTCCTCTCAGAAAGCTTGAGACCTGAAGTCACGGAAGTGGTGCTGTCAAAAAGGGCTTTGGCATCCGTGATCACGGCTGAAACACCAAACTTCAACATCGTCTCATCGTTCTGGATGGGAACGTTCGGATCAACCATGGCCGCCATGAAGACTTTCGTCCACTCCAACTCATCAACTGCTATGGTTGCTGACTGGGCTTCAGCTGAAAGAGAGCTGCGGCACATTCTGGTCAACTTCTTACTCGACCAATCCACAATTGTCAAAGGGAAAGGATCTCTGCTGTCCAACTCGGCTTGACTGGAGAGAAACATCATCATTCCACCCTGTGAACTCCCGTCTGGCCTGACAGACCAGGCAGCATCACAGTAAAGGCTGACTCGGAGTTGGTCCATGGAACAATGGCGCCTCAGGGTGAAGACATAGCTTTTCACAACCTCCTTCAAAAACCTCAAGCACTTGTTTGCTTCCAACATGTCTTTGACCATTGGCTTGTTGATGTTTGCCTGAAGTAAGCTGATTGAGGCTGCAGCTTGGGGAAGACATTGTGTGACCGGCCATGACATTGCTCCAACCAATGCCCTCAGCTGTCGATGTTCGCGCTCTGTGCAAAAATCATCAACCATCACCTTTCTAGTTTTCTCCATGCTCAATGGTTTGATCTTGTTCACGTACTGTTGCAGGGACACAGTGATGACCTCAAAGTCACTAGACTGCTTCACCTCTGCTCCACAAAAACGCATCTTCTCTCCAAAGTCCCAACTGCCGAACCTGAAGCGAGAGGAGAGATGAAACATGCGGTGCTGGAAGCAATCACACTGACCTGCGGGATCATGCTTGACATCTTGCAATGCTGACACCTGTTCTCCTGCACCAATGAAATCATCAACGTGCAGTCCCAACACTCCATCCACAATGTACCACTCTTCACCCAATTGGAAAGTCAAGAACTCTTCGTCATCTCGATGGGCCTTTCTCAACGAAAGATAGAGGCATCTATCAAGTGGATGGCTCATCAACTGCAATTCTGAGGTGAGGTATTTGTCAGCAGTGTCAAACCATTGTCGTGGAGCCCTCACATCGCCAAAAGCTGGCTTGGTCGCCTTCAGAATCTCATGTGAACGCAAACCCATGAGTCGCTCCAAACGCCTTCTCATTTCTGCAGGAGGTCGAACATAGATACGAGTGCTGTCGTCGATCGAATCTGCTTGCATGAAAGCTGACTTGATGTCCGCACACCACAACTTCCATGAGCGGTGTGTCGCCCAAACCATGACCATCATCCGGCCAAGACGGCTCAACGTGGGAGACTCACGAACAAGATTCTCGCTCAGGACATCGATGTGCCGAAAGCCTTGCAGGATGACTCTTGCATTGGCCACATGTCCATCAGCCGTGGGCTTCCAGCGCTGGAGAAAGCGCGCTGGCACAACTTCTCCTTCCTGAGCTTCAGACTCTGGAACAGCTTTCCAAGCCTGATTTTCAATCCAAACCATGAGAGCAGCGTCCTTAGCAGCATCGAAGGCCTTTCTCTCCTCTGCATTGAGCTTCTTTTCATTGAAAGACTCAGCCATCAGAGCTTCATCTTCAGTCATTGGCTCAGTGACGTCCATGAAGCGTTGGAATGCCGGGTCGTTCTCTTGAACAGGTGGTAGGCCATCCAGCTGTCGAGAGAGATTGTATGACCGGAATGCCAAAGTTCGCTCATCTCGAGGCAAGGGGCTTCTAGAACGAGTTGCCTCCTTCTCATTGTCTTCACGAGGATCTGCCGAGGATGAGCTCTTGGCTATGTGGGCTGGTCGTTCATCAGCATCATCACTGGGGCCGTGACTTCTCTTCTTCACTTCAGCCATTTTCTCATCTTCTGGGTCAGGTTGGGTTTGTGCTGTAGCTTCCGCAGCTGCCGTGTTGGTTTGTGCCTCTGCAGCCGCGTGTGGCATGTCTGCGTGCGGTTGCTGTGGTTCTGTAAGCTGCTGCTGTTCTGGCTGCGGCTGTTCTGTATCTGCTTCCGCTGTACCTGACCCTTCGATGGCTTCTTCAACTTCATCTTTCTTCTCTTGCTCTGTGGTCTCCGGTTCGTTTGGGGGTTCATCATCTCCCGTTGCGTCAGCAAAAGGTGGGTCCCCCAGGAGGTCAAGAAAACGAACAGGACCACGAACTGGATGTAGAGCGCCACGGACAGTAGTTTGCACATCCTGAGAACGAGCAGTAGCTAGTAGGTGCAGCAAACGCGCCTGGCGTTCAGGTGGAGTTTCTGGACGCAAGGAAGTATGACTGACACGAACCAATGCGCTTCCGTGGGCCAACCAGTAGATATCAGGACGAGGGCCTGCATCTGTCTCTGTGATGCCACGAGGCTGCATGCTGCAAATGAGTGCAGGACCACGCCATCGATTGATTTCCAGCTTGGAGTCACCTTCACGCCAATAGTAGACCCAGTCGCCCACAAAGAACTGCATAGGCTCTGAACGACTCTTGCTGAGCAAGGCTTTCCTCAAGGTATTGTTGTAGTTGGC